TCCCCGCCGGCGCAGACCAATCCCGGGCCGCCCCCTCCCACGCGCGCCCCCTCCCCTCCGCCGCCCGAGGCGCCGGGTGTGCGGGAGCGTGGGCTCTGGCTCGGAGGATGCGGTTCTGGAATGAAGAGATGGCTCTGGAGGCGATGGTGCAGCGGCTGGGCGCGGTTTCCAGGCACACGGGTAGGAGGAGCGCTGCCTCGCACTGCGGATCCTAAGCTTGACATCGCCCGCAGAGCTGCGGGGAAATGCGTGCGGGGCGCACAGCCGCCCTCGCTGCTCTCTGTGGCCCTCGGGCGGGGAGGGAGCGGCGGCTGCATGCTCTGGTAGCTGACATGTTTCCGGGGACTGTCAGGCCATTTTATTCCGCTAGGATGGCTACAATGACTGCAGAGCAGGCAGGGCTTTTTAAGCGCTCAGGGTCTGCTGTGCCCTGGAGCCGACCCTTGGTGACTCCGAAATCCCCTCCCCAGCCTGCCCCTGCATGCGGGGACAGCTCGAGAGCAGCCACCGGGACGGGCACAGGTGCCCTGAGCGGAGGACCCGCTGAGTCCGGGGCCTTCGGAGCCAGGGCGGGCGTGGGGCCACTGCCGAACTCCTTCTGGGGGGAAAATCCCGAGTAATCTGGTGGGTCTTACCCCCACATAACGTGACCCTCAGGCAAATGTCTGAGAACCGTGGGCCACGTGGGGGCGAGGGGCAGAACAGCGTATCTGGACGTTTGTTCTCTGTATTGATTGAGAGGTTACTTCAGATGAGCTGCAAGGAGCAGCCTGACTGATCCCTCTAGGCGTTGGCGGAGGCTGAGCTGGCGCTGTCTCGCTGCGGCCTCCATCAGGCTGGGCACACCCAGGTCTCCCGGCTATAGCACGAAAGGAGACCGCAGTGTCGCCCGGTTTCCCTTAGAATGAAGAGGAAATAGAGAGATGCCACTGCAAGTAAGTTGCCAGTGCTTGTCCCATACTGCCGTGTGAGGGGATTCAGACCGTTACCCAGGGTCTCAGGCCTCCCTTCCTGGCAGATGCAAGCGATGGGAGCGGGTTGCTTTGGGTGTGGTCCCCCCCTCCCCCTGAGTGATGATCTGTCTTTGTGTGGGGCACCTCGCCGAGACCTTGGAAGACATTCAGCTTGTGAAGCTGGTTTTCTGAGTAAAATTGCTAAGTTTATTGTGTATGGAGCAAAACGAAGTAGAGCCATTCTGCCGTCCGTCCCCTTCCTTGCAGAAGCCCAGCTGCACTGTTCCGAAGCCTGGGCTCAGCTTCGCTTGGTGTGGGTTTGGCGTGCAGAGCGGAGAGGGCACCTGGGTGCTGCGTCCCCGGAGGCTGGGACCTGTGGAGGGCAGGGGAGGGCTCTTCTGTGTTTCCTGCCCTGCTCTTGGCTGGTGTCAGGATCTCGGTGTGGGAATGACTCCAACAGTGATGTCATTCCTGCGTTTTTCGGATTGAGGGTTCTTCATGAGCTCTGAAAGACACACATGCATTTGCAGTTGTAAATGCCTGTCTCGGGAGGGGAAGTGGCACTGACTGCTCACTGCGCACTGCCAGCCACCCTGTCTGTGCCCAGCCTCCACAGCCACCTTTGTCTTGTGGGGCGGAAGCAACCTCTCCAGATCTGTGCCCTCTGACACCCCTGCAGCATTGATGGCTGCAGTCCCCACCACAGCTCTTAGATCCGGCTAAGCGGCGCCTTCGCCTATGAACGCCCCATTGTTTGGCAGGCGAGAGGCCTCTGTGTCAGTGCCCTATTTGGCGCCCCCGGCACTGCCCTATTCCCCACCAGGGATACAGTCTTTACCCCTGCTGTGCGGGGCACCCTGGGGGCTTAGAGGCCATAACGCCATGTGGTAAGGGCTGGATACCCTGCTGTGGTGACAGGGGCCATGTGCAGAGCCAGGAGCTTGCTGTGCATTCCCTCCGAGGGAAGAGATATATCCCGGGCACCACCCCAGGGCTATGTCCAAGCACCTCCTGGAGAATTCCCCAACTGCAGCGCAATGGCTTCTAACTCCACGTCCTCTGGGGGGTCACGTCGGCTCAGTGCCCGGTGTGAGGTGATGGCTCCAGACATTGATCTGGTAGCTGGTGTTGCTGCTCAGGTGGGAAAAGCTGACTCCTGGAGGAGGGCATTGTGTCCGGGGGCTTGGGGAGCTCCTGGGAACTGCATGAGGCTCTGCCCCAAACTCCCAGCATCTCGTCTGTCTGTGCTCAGGACTTGCTGCGGTGTGTTCTAGCCTCGGATCGGAGTGTTGCTTTCCGTCTCCAAGGGCTTTCTTTGCCCGGCTGATCTGCGTGCAGAGCTGCACAATGTGTGCTCTCCTGGTGGTCTGTGCCTCTCAACCTCGAGCATGTGGCTCTCATATGTGTTCCAGAACCTGACGTTTAGGACCAAGGCCAGGAGATTCTTCTGATAGCAAAAGCCTCTCTGTGGTATGAAGGGAGGCGTTTTGGTTTTCTGTTTAGGTTTGCAGTCGTTGGTTAAAAAGAGAGAGAGAGAGAAACATTTGAGGGAGAAATATTATAGACCTACTTGATTTAAACCTTTGATGAATTTTGGAAGTGGTGAATTTTGGAAGCACCTCAAGCTAGAGTGTGCCTCTGCATCACCTGGGGCAGGGGCTGCAAAGTCACCGATTGCGGCCACCCCCAGAGCTGACTCAGGAGGGTGGGGTGGGGTGTAATCTGAGAATTTGTATTTTAAAGTTCTCAGGAGGGGCAGATGGGCAGAGTGCTGTAGAAGATCTTTCAATGTAGTCCCACCCTCTCCATTGACCTTGAGTGAAACCTTAACTTCATGGATGGGTGGATGAGTGGGTGGATGAGTGGGTGAATGTGTAGGCAGATAGATGGATGGGTGGGTGGATGGTTGGATGAGGGGATGGGTGAATGGCTGGTTCACTTTCTGTGTGAATGACTAAATGAATGGACAGTTGGATGGAAGGAAGGATATGTGGATGGATGGATGGATAGATGGATGGATGGATGGATGGATGGATGGATGGATGGATGGATGGATGTGTGTTATGGTTGATACATTGTGTCAACTTAGGGAGTCTAGAGGTTTGGCTAAGTGACT